CTTACTATTAAATTAAAATTCAAATAACAAATTTAAAACTTAATATTTGCCTAAAGTTGAATAATAATTTAATAATGAATTCAATGCGACTTAAACCTAATGGACCCAAAAAAAAATTCAGGTTCGATTCCTAGTAACAACATTATTTTGTTCATTCATTATGGAATTTTAGTTCATGGATTATGGAATTATAGTTCACCGATTATGGAAATATAGTTCATCGATTCTGGAATTATAGTTCATCGATTCTGAAATTTTAGTTCATAGATTCTGGAATTTTAGTTCATTCATTCTGAAAATTTTAGTTCATAGATTAGATTATGGAATTATAGTTCATCAATTATGGAATTATAGTTCATCGATTATGGAATTATAGTTCATTGATTATGGAATTATAGTTTCGAACCTAATTTTTTTTTTTTAAAGGGGAGACGCGCATTTTATAAAAACGACGTCGTTTTTGCATCCGTATGCACCATTGGTGGAATGCGACTTAAACCTAAATATCCAGTCTAACCAATTACTTAATGGACCTATTCCACTTGCACCACATAAGTAAGACTCATAATATATAATATATATTATACGGGAAAGTCTTACAAAAAATGCTTCATGTAAAAAATATTAAATACTTACATCCATTCATTTGGACTTATCAACAAGTAGAAAATAAGGAAAAAAATGTTGTGTAAGTTTTATAAATATTATAAATTTTTGAAAGATTGTAATATTTATGAAACTGATATATTTTTTCGTTATTTTTCCTTCTTTTTTTTTTGGTGGTAAGGGAATGGGGGACCCACCAAAACATTTTCCTTCTTTTGATCAACCCATATGAAATAATGAGAGTATCAACATTTTTATAGGGAGCATTGTTTTCATTTGGACATGCCCATATATAGGTCTAGAATCAGGTGCCAAGAACTCCCCAGGTAAAAAATGTGCACAAATCTTAGTCATTAATTTATCTAGATCTACTGATCTTTTTTTTTTTTTTTAAGTATACTTCGAATTAACAAAAATTGTGAACTTGAAAGCACAAAAACGTGCACTTGAAAGCACAAAAACATGCACTTGAAAATACAAAAAAGTACACTTGAATGCCAAAATTTTGTACTCGACAGCACAAAGATGTGCAATCAAAGCAATTTATGGTACCAAAAAGAAAAATTTTTCAACATAAGTGTTATTGAAGCAATTACACATACAAATCATTTGTAAATTTCACAAATTTCATTAGAAATTTAGTTATAGATTATTGAAAATAAAACAAAACATATACTAAACAGTTGCCCATAATTGTGCACTTGAAGACACAAAAATACTCACTTGAAGGCATAAAAATGTGCATTTGAAGGGCAAAATTATGCACTTGAAGGCATAAATATGTTCAATCGAAGCAATTTATGGTAGTAAAAATGAAAATTATTTAACTTAAGTGTTATTGAAGCAATTGACATACAAATCGTTTGTAAATATCACAAATTTCATTAGAAATTTAGTTATAGATTATTGAAAAGAATTCAAAGCATATAATAAACATTGGCCCATATATATGCAATTGAATGCAAAAAAATGTACACTTGAACGCAAAAAATGCGCACTTGAAGCTCAAATTTTTGCACTCAAAGGAAAAACTAAGTACTTAGACAGAACATATGCACTCGAAGAAGGAAATATGCACGAAAAAGAACATCTTACCCTACTCAAAACCAAGGATTGAGAAGGTTTTCAGTGACTAATCCCCTTGCTGAATTGTAGCTCCATACCTAAAATTAAGGATCAAACCCTTAACCTTTGATTAAGAATGAATAAATCCCTTCTACTCAACTACACCCCATGTTGTTTATATAAGGCTTGAATACCTTATAATAAGCTAAGGTTTGGGGATTTTTTTTCTTTTCTTCTATATGGCTTGCCAAAAATCCAGTTTGGATTTTTGTTGATGTGGATGCCTTTTTTGTTTTTTTTTTTTTCTTTTTTAAATTACCAAGTTCTATCTCAGGATTACGTTTTAAAATTATGAATTAAGATTACACTATTTTAATATAGCACTGCAAAACCAAATTTGAAATAATTATACATATTAATTTATAATAATAAAGTTTATTTTCTTCTCCCAAAAAGTTGAATCTCCCCAACTAGGATTGGACGTAATTTAGATTATTCGAACTATCAACCAAAATTCGAATTAAATTTTAAATTTCGAGTGAACTTTCATAGTTATCGGTTCAGATATTTTAAATTTTGGTATATTCGAATATAAATTTGGTTCAGATATCGGGTGTTAAAAATTATCTATACCCAAATCGAAACTCGAACTAACCAAAATTTTATTATAAATATAATAATATAAATTATATATTTAATTTTAAATGTATTTCATAATTAATAATATATTAATTCTCAAAAGTCTCTTAATTAGTAATTAGTATTTTGTCTTATTTTTAGTTTGATAGTATATGCAAAAATATAAAAATAATAAAATCATTTAAAAACTCAAAATTGATAAAATAAAATTTTGGGTATATCCAAACTAACCTGAAATAAACACGAAATAATTTCACCCAAATCGAATATATCCGAATTAAATTTGATTCGGATATCGGGTGTCAGAAACATCACCCAAAATTTTCGAATATCTGAAATAAAATTCGAGTGTCACCAAAACCGAACTGACGCCCACCATACCCCCAACCCCAAGTGAAAAATAATAAAATTTATCAAATGAAGTTGTTGTGCATTTAATACATTTGAGAAAGTCTTTTGTGAGACCATATCATGTAAAATGTTAATGGCCCTGTTTGGTAAAAAATTGGCCTATAGGCCAATTTTGGCTTATTTGATCACTATTAATTGTTCGATTTAGTTAAAATATCAATATAAATGTTTGGTTAATTAGCTTTTCGCAACTCCAAAAGGCTAAAATTAAAAAAGCTACTCCTAGCAACTTTTTCAATTAGCTTTTTGAGAACAGAAATTACACCAAACAGCTATCAGCTAACAGCTAGTTTACCAAACATTTTTCTACAATCAGCTAATGTTATCAACTATTTATACCCTCTAATTAACACAATCATCTAACAGCAAACAGCTATCAGCTAACAGCCATTTTACCAAACAAGGCCAATATCTTTTAATTAAAATATAACACTAGTTAATTGTAAAAACGTTGATAGCGAATATTTTCCGAATTTGACCTCCCTAAACGTTCCATGCTCATGTTCGGTAGTCAGGTCAGAGTAAGAGTTAGGTGTCCGAATCATAGTCTAATAGTCAATGTCTTAGATCATATAAAGGCGATTCATGCCACAAGGAAAAGGGTGGGGACATTCTTTACTCTCTCTCTCTCTCTCTCTATAACACTGTGTTTTTCTTCTCTACCTTCTCTCTACAAGATGAAGGAATAAAAGCAAGCCAAGTTCTCTCATCCACACTTGATACTTCATACAAATTTGTTCTCTCCTCCATACTTGATACTTCATACAAATTTGTTAATACGTATTTTCTTAACCTACTAAAGCATAAAAAATCAAAATCCTCACATTAAGATTTGAACCGTTCAATCACAAAGTCTTTGACATGTTCATGTTATAGTTAGAGACTAGAGAGACTCGTTCTTTGTCAGACTATGAAGAGTGACATGTCACTCTTTTGTTTTTATGTCTTATTTTAGATTTTAGATGATAATGCAGTAATGAAGTTATTTTTACTTTTTTTTTTTTTTTAAAAAAAACACTATCTAAATACGAAAATCATAAATCATCCACTCGACCACTCTTTACTAAACTAAATTCATATTTTCATCTCCTAATGATATTTGTTGGACAGAGCACACATGCCACAGGGATGTATTTAATAAGGCGAGATTTCTCAAATTTCACATTTTATTTTTTCAAAATTATTATAATCAAAATCCAAATTCACATTCTTCCCCAACCGAGCATGGCCTTAACCCATCACATCCAGAGCTTTATTCGCTTCTTGAAATTAGATGGACTGTACGTCTGTACCAGCAATCCTCTAATCTTCTCCTTTTTATTTTTTATTTTCTACGTACTAAACTAACATTCACATCATGTAGAATAAAGTTATACGGAGTACTCAAACTACTCCCATTTTAATCAACATAATTTGGTATCTAATCTTATGTTTAATTTAACATAAACATCTCAAAAGTTATAGTCAACTAGAGATAAACGAACGCGATTATTTGTCACTATTCAAAAAAAATCAAAAGTAAGATTACTCATTAACACCCCCCTCAAGTTATTGATTAATACTGCTCATAAGGGTTGAGCTCATTGGTTTAGTAGACAGTATTTAGAGAAAAAGATTAAGGTTTGAAACTCAGCCGCGATAAAATTAAGATCATGCTCAAAGTGAACAAATTCTCATAATTTATCATCTCAAATACTTTGTTACTTATTTGATCGAGTTAATACCCGAATTTATTATTACAGTGTGATTTATCTTCTCCCAAAAGGTTGAATCCCCAACTCCAAGGCTCCCCACTCCCGAGCTCGGCAGAGCATTTGTGAGAATGTAAATCATGGCGCCCGACAGAGCATTTGTGAAGATTAAATCAGGGTGAGACTCAACAGACATGATCAAATACCGGTGTGCACAAGGGATCTGTCCACTTTGGGTATAATCCCCACACAGTCACTCTCGAAGTTCAAACATTGGTCTCTTATCTCAAATACGGGCTACTGAATCATTAAATTAAGCTTGTGCGGGCTATGGTGTGATTTATCCCTAACGAATGTGGTGGTGCTACAAGACTTATCAGCTAAAAGTGATACAAAGAAATCATTCATCCATGATGTTTCATTTCAAACCAAATTTGAAGTGAGAATCAGCAGGATCAAGATTCAAGAACAAGGAAGGACTAATCCCAGGAAAATGATGTTGAGCAGATGCAAATAACAGAGAGATGAAAGAAGCTAAGCGTCAAGCCCCAGAAATGCAGACATTATTCAAGCAAGCAGTTAAAGAACGAAACCAAAACTGATATGAGCAACGAATATTATAATGCAGCAAGTATTTGCAGTCTTTGATGGAAATTATGAACAATTGCGGATCTTTTGTTGCAGCTAAAGAACAACCAATTCACCCAGACTCTGCACCATGTTAGTTTATTCCGGTGAACAAAGCTAGACAACCCAAAACTATGAACAAATAAGACGACGAAGACGAAGACGATGGCTAAACAAAATCTAGCGTTTTCAAAGCAACTAAGCTTTCTGTTTTTTTCTTTTTACCAGACAACGACGCCTTCCTTCATGGAATCCAATCCCGCAGAAGCAAAATGAAATGGTCACGAATTTACTTGTCTGTTATTAATATATGTTTTTGTTTGTACATCACCCATGGGATCTGCAGAAATCAAAGCAACATTCAAGAATGTTAGGAATAAATGTTAGGAATGAATGGGGGATTGGAGTTGGGGAATTGTGCTTACAGTTCATTTGGAGTGATCGTCGGGGACTTTGTATAGGTCAGGCGTAATCTCCGACAGCCATAATCCGGGGAAGAGAGTCTGGGGAAAGCAATGAATGGAACAGTGAATATGAGAGTTAAAAGAGATTGGAATTGTGGTTAGAATGAAATAGAATCGCCATTTTTGTGTAGTTATGGAGATGGAGGAGAGATTTGTTTGACTTACATCTAAACTCCTCTGGACCAATTTAGGTCGTTTTTTGGGCCGGCGAGGGGGTCTTTGACCGAGAATCGCCATGAAATCCTCTTCGATCTCTCGCTTGGCGAGCGGAACGGAGAACTTTGCTCTGTCGCGCTTCTCGCCGGAGGAGGAAGCTCCGGCGGTGGCGGCACCGACGACGGTTCCACTGCGAAGTCGGGGAGATTTGTTGTCAGTAGTCCTGGATGGTGAAACATTGGGATTCGTGACGTCGATATTCAAACCCCGGCTCGATCCGCCGGCGTCGGCTGGGAATCCGGTTGGCGTCTTACATGCCGACCGGCGAGTTCTCAAGTTCCAGGGCCGAGCGGAGTCGGCGGCGGTGGTTTGGGATGGAGGCACTGGAATCACAGTTGTCGAAGCCAGTATCGGCGAGAACGACGCCGCCGCCGCCGCCGCCGCCGGCGGCGGCGACGGTTCTCCTACCTCCACATCCACATCCACATCCACCGCCACCACCCGCCGACTTTCCTCGTCCTCCAAACCCTCCCTAAAAATCGCGTCTTTCATCTTATCCGCCGCCTTCTGGAGATCAAACATCAGCTTCTCCCTCACCGCCGCGATCCCGTTGTCGACATCGGAGCCGAATTTCCGGCCGCCACTCTCCCCCACCCGTGCTCTCTTCGCTACACACGTCTCCTGAACCCTCTCGTTTGATCCGCGACGCTGAGCCGTGGCCGCCGCGGGCGGCTGAACCCTCCTCCTCGCCGACGCCTCCGACGATCCGTAAGACCTCCGGTGAACGGCGGAGATTTCCCCATTGGAATCCACCTTAGCGCACCTCAAGAACTTTTGATTCCCCCACTTCAACCCACAAGGCAGCGTGAAATTATGCAGCGGCGGCTTTGATCTTTCCGGCCCCATAGCCATTACCAATACCTCCCACCACCGGCACCGAAAAACTCTCTCTGTTTCCCTTCACTCTACCCTTTCACTTTGACGGGAAATCATCGGAAAAAAATGAGAGAAAATACAAGGGTTTCGTCCCCACCTTTCTTTGCCGGTTTTGTTTCTTGTGAAATCGCCGGGAACGTAAACTTCATACAATATGAGAGAAAGAGTTTAGAGAGAGAGAGAGAGATAGAAAGAGAATGAGAGAGAGCGAGAGGGGAGCGGTTTTAACGTTCGGGTTCTGAATACGGCACGGTGCTAAAGTGCGCGGTAGAGTGTCGTGCGCATATTTGTTTTGCGAGGGTTTTCGATGAAACGACGCCGTACGCATTCCCTATACCTACAATTGGATATGGCAGAATTTAGGATGAAGATGTATCCTAACAGCCGTTGGATTAAATTGCCCTTTTTATTTTTATTTTGAAAAAAATATCAAATAAGTCTTTCAAAAACCAATTAATTTCTGAACTTTAATAAAAAGATGTCATTAATCAATTCTCCGTATCATTTTGGTGCATCTAAACTCAATAGTCGATTTTCCGTCAATAACTCTGACAACCGGCGAATAGTCTCAGTGAAGAAGAAGGTGAGTGACGATCTTTTTTTTCTTTTTTTTTTTTTTAATTTGGATTATTTAGTGACGGTGAACGACGATAATTTTACAGGTAACATATTGGTTACTAGTAAATGTGGCTTATTTGATTATTTTGATAAGTTTGAATGTTTAATTGCACCTCATTAAAGTTCAAAGGCTTAATTATTTTCGTGTGTAAAATTCAATGACTTATTTGACATTTTTTCTTTTTATTTTTAATAATAGAGTTAATTTCACTTCTAATCCTTGATTATATTGACATTTTTACACGTAATCTTGCCTCTTTTTCTTTTTTTTTTTTTTTTTTGTATTTTTTGTTTAAACCACATTGTGATAAATAAAAAATTAAATAAATAACTTCAAGGAAGCAATATGGTCAAATTAAAAACATTGAACTAAACGTGAAAATGCCAACAAAATTAGGAACTAAAATTCAAATTAATTCTTTTCTTAATAGCATGACGTTCAGTGTTTGATAATAACATTAAATTCTAACTAATTTAGAAATAAAATACTGGCATATCATACTTGAGTTGGAGCTTGAGTAATTACTCTTTTTTAATTAGTGGAAATAAATTTCTTAAATAGAAAATCTTGATCGATACAAAACATATACACAAGAAAAATATAGAATCACCCATACAGACTTAGCTTAGTAGTTCAAAAATATTTGTTGAATCTTTAAATTACTGTGATTTACCTCCTCCCACATACTGTATATATAGATTATACTATATTTCTCGTTTCATTGACACCTTATAAATATTATTTTGACATTCAATTTTAACTAAACTTATTACTTAATATTGAAATTAATAATATCTAAAAATAAGTCATATGTCACAAAATTTTATGAAAAATATTACCTTTTTTTTTTGTTAAAATATGTACTAGAAGTTAAATTTAAGTTAGGGACCTACAACTTATCCCTTACCGTTACAGTTGACCGTCTTCCGTTTGTCATTATCACCAAATTTTACGTGCCTTCTTCCGTGAGGAAGGCGTCGCAACCTTCTTCCGGGAAGAACACGTTTTCCAGCTTCCTTCTAAATTTGGAAGAAGGTAACAACAACTACCTACAATTCTTTCACACCTGGAAGAAAGCAAGGGCGATCTTTTTCGAGATTTAGAAAAAAAACAACGACGACTGCCTTCTTCCAAACCTGTTGAAAGAAGGTCACGTTGGCCTTCTTCCAAACTTGTTGAAAGAAGGGCGCGTTGGCCTTCTTCCAGGTCTGGCAGCTGTCGTTGCTTTCTTCCAAACCTGGAAGAAGACAGTAGTGAGGAAAGGCAAACGAAATAGGCAGCGACGGTGACAGGTAAACAGGATGTCAACAGCAGTGATGACAACGGTGAAATGTTATTTATAATGTTAATATAGTTTTAATAATAATAATAATAAATAAATAAAATATGACACGTCGTTAACTTATAAATAATTGGTAAAGTTAGGTAAAAATGGGTTAATTGCTTAATTTTTTTTGAGTTCATAGATTTAATTAGAGCTTTTTAAACTTTAAGGGTGTTTGATTCAGGTTATATTTGCTTGGTATGTTTGTTTCAAGTTATGCAATTTTTCCTTGTGAATGTAAAAAACCTCCAAATAAGGTTTTTAGTTATTGCAAGAGAATGTGAGATACCCTCCATTTTCTTAGATATTCTCACATTCCTATTGCAAGGGAATGTAATATCTATTTCATAACTACTTTCTCATCCTATTGAAGCACAATGAGTCAATATCATGCTGTCAATATCGCGTCTACTAAGGCGAGAAACCCACAACTTGGTGTCATTGGACCACAAGGTCCTTGGCTATCTCTTTTAAGTAATAATTAAACTTAAATCATATTTGATAAATAAATAAAATATTTACACATTCTTAATTTCAAACATATTGAATAGTATCGGGGAAAAAAAAATGCTCCCAACACTATTAATTTTTTTTATATTTACAAATTCTTAATTTCAAACATATTGAATAGTATCGGGGAAAAAAAAATGCTCCCAACACTATTAATTTTTTTTTTTTGAATGCTACTGGCTCTATTACATGTAGTATCTGTTCATATACTTTCTCAACCTACTGAAACACAAAGAATCAATAACGCCTACACTAAGGCTTGAACTTACAACCTTTCAAATGGAAGTCCAACCCGGGTTCCAACACTATTAATTAGTTTTTTGCTTGTATCACAATTTTTGTGCCCACTTATTTCAAACATTTTGTGTTGTATTTCTAATTGACTAATTCCAATAGTTTATTTTAATAGCTTCAACTTCTAATGGGTAGTTTTTTAAGCTTTTAGTAGAGATAGCAATAGCACTTCATGTTAACATGTTCTTAATGGATCAACATAACAAACACCTATTAAGTTTAATGGGTTGGAATTTCTAAAACATATATACAAACAAGGGATTTAAATGAATTGATATGATACGTACTCGAAATGCACTAGCATAACTAGCAACAAGACGTCGCCATGCATCGTGGACTGTCGTAGTGAGGAGATGAGGGGTTGTATGGTGTCAGTAGAGCTTCCCAGAAGTGCACTGACAATAATTTGATTTTGACGATACCAAATTAAATGGTCTGGGTTGATAGTTGTAATAATAATAATAATAATAATAATAATAATAATAATAATAATAATAATAATAATAATAATAATTATTATTATTATTATTATTATTATTATTATTATTATTATTATAATTATTATTATTATTATTATTATTATTATTATTATTATTATTATTATTATTATTATTATTATTATTATGTGGTAAAATGCTACTGTGCGCAAAGAGAAATGTAAAAGGATTTTTTTTTTTAAAAAAAAAGGAAGGTGTGCACAAAGCAAACGGATTAAAAAAAAAAAAAAAAAAAAAAAAAGGCGTGGGCAAAGCAAAAGGATCAGTGAATTTTGATGGTTCCTTGGTGGAACCGTCAATGTACCCCATGAGGTTAAAGCCAACAAATATCGCCTGAACTTGCCGTCTCCAAACTGGGAAATTCGTGATAGTGAATTTAATAGGGAAGTTTGTAAGGACATTTAATTGAATGATTTCTTTTGTGGCCACAGGAGTACAATAGGAGTAGCAATAGCAGTGGAAGCCATTACGTAGGAAAAGAAAAAAAACTTTGAATATGAGATTCTAGGCTCTTGATACCATGTGGAGATTGTAGAACTGAACCATTTATTGATGTAAACACAATAAGCTATAAATATAGTACAATGAGAAAAGATAGCAAGAAATTTTAACAAAGCTAAACTACAGAGGTACAACTAAAACAAATAACTATAGAAATAGAATATGTCAACCACATGTATTCTTGACCGTTAACAAGTTTGATTTTGAGTGAATAGGACTAGTTTACCTATTTAAACATTCATTAACATTATTAGAATTTATATTTTCTTAAGATTGCAATTTAAAGAAATTAATAAAATGCGCCATAGGATTCAATTAAACACAAATCATTAAAAAAAAAAAATCAAATAGATGGGAACTATATTTCTGGAATCTTATTCAGAGTAGGAGAATAACAGAATAAATACATAGGTAGACAAGTCCTAATACAAGTAAACTATAGTTATGCTACTAGAGTCATAATAAAATAAACTATTAAACTACACATATGAATGAAATTAGACTAGCGAACCAAAAAAAGAAAGCGAAAAAAAAAAAAAAAAAAAAAAAAAAAAAAAAACGAGTAATTGATCCTCCCTTGAACAAGCAAATATCATGCAATCATACTAAATAATTGGTCAATATCTTCTAATGCAATTCGATGCCATTTGATAGATGCCATGTCATCTTACTTGTAGTTTAATTTATAAATTATAAATAACATGTCATCCCAGTTGTTAATTTAAATTTCAAAAAAAAAATCTTTAAATGATGTGTCATTTTAAAAATTAATTAATTAATATAATGGGTCCATAACATGTTACAATAACTGGTTCGTGTAAATTTTTTGACCAAATAATTTTAATGAATTAACGAGTTAAACATATTCTTAATGATTAAACTTCTTGTTAGCAATGTTGGACATGTTAAAGGGTAAATGCTAACTCAGTATTTTTTGTGCTCAATCTTATATGGTGTTATTAACACGTGGTATTAAAAATTAGCAAAACTAATCTTGGACTAAACTTTTAATTAGTGTTTTAGTTATAAATTGCTCCAAACAGAGCGTAAACCTATGCAAATATCCTCAAGTTAAATAATTCCCAAGATTATTGGTACTCCTTTTAATACTAGTTGGTTTGATTATGTTGGTTGGATGAAAATCTGAGTTGACCCTACGCTATATCAAGTAAGGATTTTCTTAAAACTTTTATTGGATCACAATAAGAATTTTGTCAGATTATTGTAAGAGTTGTTATACCGTGGAGCAGGTTTACCTTCCTAAACAACGTATAAATTGTATATTTTTTATATTGAAATTGTGAACTTTTAGAATATAAATTGTGTTTCTAAGTCAACACACATAACAAAGGGAATTTGTGAATACAATACAGGGGTCATCAAATCCTAATCTGTTAGTATTGTGTGACTGCATATTTGAAAGAAACTTGTGAATACAAAACAAGGTAATCAATTACATATATATATTAACATTGTATATTTATAATAT